CAGCAAGAAATACTGGCAACTGGACATATAAAAATTACATGCGGAACTATGAGCCTCGCTATTTGCTCCAAGGATGGCAAATGTAGTTTGGTTTAAAACGTCAACAATTCTAATATAGACTTTATCATCTGTCTTCTCTATGTGCCTAGAACAACTAAAGCATCAATTTAATTGAAAAAAACGCGGAATCGAAATTAGTTTTAAAAATTACAGATATAACCTATATTAGACAATGCTTAGATCAGATAAATTAGAAATTTAGAATGTAGGACTAAAAACCACAATATCGTTTTAAACAGTTACTCTGACGAGCAAAAAAATTTTTATTTAAAATACGATTTAAATATAGGATATAAAAGGATATACCATATCCGTTATCACTATTGACAGTTATCACATTAACCGCCTAACGCAGCTGCAGATTATTATAATACTTATGCAGCTCATGCGCTGACTGAGCCAAACGTTTCCGATTCTCATATCAAGAGGTGAACGAAAGATTCACCATTTTTGACGTCAGTTTTTACGGCAGTATAATACGCCATGCAATGACCGAGTTCCGTTCTTGGTGGAATGACCTATTTGCAGAAAACCGAGCTTGTCAACTTATCAGCAGATGGTTTAATGACGTCAGCAATTTGACCCTGAACAATTTGCCATCAAAGAAGATGGCTAAAGCGACAATGCAAACATATCTTGAGACAACCAAACATTTTATTCTCATCAACTACCATTACTGAGGAGAGTTGACTTAACCTTTCGTGTGATCACGTGAATACGGTTGCTTCTAGACAGAAGACCAACATCAGACTGACTATATTAAAGTACATATGGATCTTAATGTCAGCAGATAATCTTCTCCCAAAAAAGAACCTGAGATTCGCTCAATCCAAAATTCTACTGTTCAAGTTCTGATCATAATTAATAGTTACTGACCACAGTATCGAGGAATGTAAATTACATGACTTCGGTGACACTACCTTTGTCACAAAACCGTACCCAAATGACGAGTAAACGATTTTTGAAACGATTATTAACAAGAAATCCAAACCTAAAGTCAAGAGCGCCAGTTCAATGTCGCCACTGAATTCCTGTTTGATCGAATATTCTATACTTTTGCCACAAATCTTTTGGTACTCAGCGAAAACGGCGTTAAGCTGGTATGGATTCTGAGAGCCAATAATTCGAATGAACACTGATTCTTCGGTGCCTAGTCTTTTCGCACCCGCTGCATAAAGTGCCTGAGCATCGGCGGCTGCTCGCACAGGATCAACAGTAGTCGATTCGTCTCGGGCAGCCTAAACATTCACCATCCAGATCGTTCGACACCATAAAATAAATAAACATGACAAACTGATAACAACTTATTAATACAAGGTAGAAATTTTGATTTACTAACAGCATGTGTTGTGGTCTATGAGAATAACAGATACGGGTCAAGTGCCGGTAAACGGCAGTTTCACTTCTGTCTTGCTCGTATATGCCTAATGAACGACTTAATAGGGTCAGAGCTCCATGAAGCCTTAACACCTGAAGTGCCAGGCTGCAAACCGTAGGGTGCCCGAATTTTCATAATTTACATCCAACTACAACTGATTTACACAAATGCCGCCGTACAGAGCGATTAGATAACTCGTTTGGCCAGATCATATAGTGGAGTCGCATCAACTACTTGATTCTAAACATCCAGGATGACATGTAATCAGACCGACCATCTCATTGTTACTCATATATAGGTAGTTAATGCTATACTACAAATCGAGTGTCAGTCCAATCGCTTTAGCGCATTTTTTGTCTCCCTGTACCCTACAATCTCCTCCTGAACGCATATCCCAGTGTTATGTCAGTGAACACTGAAAAAGCAAAGCTGGAAGCTTACCACTGACAACGCAACAAGCAGCTGTCTGAAATGACCGGAGGTTTCTGAACGCAGACATTTCTCCAAATCTTTGCCATACACTAAAAACAATAAACAGACATAAAAAACGAATCTTGGAAAGAATTTGCATTTGCACGGCTGAAAGCTAAAAATAAAGTCAAATGCATTGTTTACTTTCTCGATATTTCTGCTTTATTTCAATTATTTGGCTGTTCGTTCTTGTTGTTAGTATTTCGATGAGCACCAATTCGTTCGTGCCGATACCCTAGAAGAAACAGCAGCTGTGCTTAGCACTTAAGACAACATGCAACAAATATCACACTAGAGTATGGAATCGCTCTCTTTAAAGCTAGCATACGAACAAATAGACGAATGGCTTCAAAGGCGTTTCTGTTTAAACACGTTACGGTAGTAGTGTCAAGCAGGTGATACCTTCAGATTGAAGAGTACAAAGGGATCATCAGAAAGTTTTTGAAATACAATGTTTTCTTAAACTCATCAGGAACAAACGCGCAATTTTTTTTAACTGTCATACGAATCAAACAGATGAACACATTTTTGAAAGATATTATCAACTTAAACACTGAAAAGTTTACCTTAGATACAGAAATCGAATTTATTTGTTTCTTCAGTCATCTCCTCCGGGGATATTCATCAACATCACCAATTGGAGTTGAAGAGCTGCCACTAGTTGGAAGGTCAAATACAGAAATGGAAAAAAGTCAGTAATTTTCTTGCGCGAACGCGCTTATGCAAAAACCAAAATAAGTAGTAAGTGATCTTCAAAAGAAGCTTTCAAAGCGATCAATTTATATAAACTTGTCAACTGAAATTCACAAACCTTGGCTAATGTAAGTAGACTTTTTTCATTTAACTATAGAAATAGTTTTGTTCGACCAAATGGAGTGAGCTACCACCGTTGAATCTGGAACAAGATCAGCAACGAGCCATCTGTTAATAGGTCAAATCTGAAGTAGCTGTTCTTGAGAAGAAAAATTAACTGAGTGTTGGAACGAAATAGGAAATTTCATACCGTAGAAATATTTCTCAAAGGGTACATAAATATTAAAGGACGATTTCCGTCGTGCCTCTGACTCAGTTAAGACTGGCCATATCAAGAAGGTAGACGCTGTTTAGAAGCAATAAAATGTGGCAATACGGACCTTTCGAGATTCATTAATTTTTTCTATGAGGTTGAAGAGGGAGCCTCCTCGCTCCTGGTCCTATCGTGTAGTCGAAAATTCCACCTGCCTCCAATTTTACTGCTGGCATTGAAAAAGGCATTATCAACTAATAGAGATAAATTAAAAAAACAGAAATGAGATACTGAATGGAATATGAACAAAGTGAAGAATTAACGGTCAAATCCGTTACCCTATCATCTTGAAAGACTACAAAACATTAGCTCAAAGACCTCTTTCATTATCAGATGATAATGCATCAAAGTTAATAGTCAGAAACTGAAAAATACACGAAAACTGATTATTTACACAATGCAAACAAGCATGTTTATCCTTTGTGCAAAAATAAACAATTTGTATGCGTTTTTCAGTTTTCAGCATGAACAACAAAGCACGAACACATATCCAAATTTTCGGATCAGCAGGCCGATATTTATGAAAAGGAGAGAAGAAACGCTAGCCCCTTTCCAAAGATTAGAAATCTGGTTCGGTGCCTTAAATCCTCTGATCTTTGAAGGCAAGCGCAACGAGAACACACAGAGTTTGACCAAAACTGTTTGTACCTGTTCATTTCCTGATGATAACAGATGCCAATTCCGAATAACTGCATATAAAAGTTTCCCTACTTTTTATGCTACCAACCATGGATTCAGAAGACCGATTATCTTCAAGGAATTCATGGCATGGTATTGGGATAAGATTTAAAAATTATTTAAATTTTAGGTTTTTCCTGAAAACTAAACTTACGCACTGTGAACTGTTGAACTAAATATACCGATTTCGTGATCAACAAACATTCTGTCTGACGCAGAAAATGTCTTTGTGTTCTGACTCATCGGTAAACTCTTACGATCCTCGTACTAGTTCCAAACTCACTGACAATCACATATCTGTTTATCCATGTATAATTCAAGACGGAACTACATGTCTGTTGCCAGTATATATAATATAACAATTACGTACATGCACGTTTTCGGACCTCAAAACAGCCTGAGGACATTACCTGATGCTATGAAACAATGCAGTTCATTACTACTGTATAAGGTTATCCTTTACTTTACCGTGCCGCAATCTTTTTGGATTTAAAGTCTTTTATTTTATGGCTCGGTACCTAAGTTAGTGGAGCGTCAGAATTGCAGCAGAAAATCCTACTACAATTCCTACCGCGGCAACCCGTTTGGTCTGTCAGAGGTAGTCAAACTCGTACAACTAGGTGGACAAGACGGTAGATACTATGGGCTACAACAGCTATCCTGATGTAGATGTTGCCTTTAAACACGAACGATGCTTCAGGTTAACGGCACCGTGACAAGCATCAGCCCCGAACCGTAAGTTCAATGATAATAATGTGATAAGTCTAACAGGAAGCCTGATTTTAATCACTAGTTCGCCATTTAATACCAATGATTATTCTACTCAAGCACCACATAATTTGTTTCTTCGAGAATGATCACCAAAAGGTTGGTAACTAATCCGTTCATACGAAAGAAAATATTCCATATTAAAAATGCAGTGATTACTTAACAATAAATTATTACAAATTATAAAATATTCTTACATCCATCGAACGGAACAGTTCGACAGCATCGTATTCGGCCGGTGTGAGCATCAGTGCAAGAATCGCATCCTCCAGGTCACCATGCAGTTCATTTTTCAACGACTCAAGCAAATCCTGAAAATTTCGTGTTACACATTAAGAAATTCAATAAATACGAACATGATTTAGACAAGAAAAGGATTATATGCAAAACATAAATAGCTTGGACTCAATAACCAATATCGTGGATCTCCGAAACAATTTTCATTGAATAGTTATCTCACTTTTTTCATAACCACCGCCATCGAGTTAGAACATTCATCTTCTTAAAATAAAAAAATCCAGACAGTCAACAACAGCTACCGTGGCAGTAGATGGTGGTTGCTGTTGTTGTTATCGTCACCTTTAGTTCACAGAACTTAAGCAACACAGCAAATGAGATTTACGATGACTGTCCGCTAGAAATGGCGCCTTAGATTGATATGACGCAAACTTCACTACGCAGTGAAAGCCAGATTCCCCTCTGCAGGCAGATCTGCCTCAAAGAAGTGTTTCCACGTTTTGTGTTGTCCTCCAATGCGTCTAAAATCAACTACAACTGTCAATCTGGTTTTCTTATGAGCTGAGTTAACTCTAGCCTCTAAACGAGAAAGGCACTAAGATCACAAGGCATGGCTAAAAGACTGGAAACATGGTTCATATTCATTCCCTTAACGAGCGCTCAAAGGTTTGTCTTCCAAATTAGATAGACACATAGGAAGATGCTTGAAACGGATTAAATAATTACGAACGTTACATTTTGCATATCACGCCGTCAACTGTTACAACGGGGGCTCACTTTTCCGAAAAAGGATTTGAACGTGTTTCTTATCTGCTGACGCTGGGCATTGTTTCGACGGCAAATGATATCTACGACGGCTTTATCGTTACATCCTAAAAAAAGAGATTTTTCAATGAGCGGAGCAATGCGTAACGAACAGCAACGTACCCAGTCCCTTCATGGCTTTGTGAAGAGCTTCGGCATCTTGATCCGGATGGAAATCCAGAAAAGGTCGAACTGTGCCATAGTACTAAAATTGAAAGTTTAGATGTGATTATGAGGATGAGAACGATCAAGCGAATCTGACCTGCTGTACAAATCATGAGCAGAAACCTAAAACAGTGAAGCACAAAAAATTTCACAGACACAACGGTCTAACTGAATAAAATATCATT